GTTTGCTTCTAATAGCAAAAACAATCATCAAAATGTGTATTTTCAATACATGTGTTTTATGGCTGATGGCTACTATAATGCACAGTGTACCTTTTATGAGGACCCATAGGAGAAAATTCTCTTAGGTCTCAGTAGCAGTAAAACCAGTGCTTCTCCTAAGCAGTTGATTTGTTTTTGTCTTAAAGACTCTATTACTCTCTTTGTTTCTCCTCTTTGTTTTGTCTTTCAGGCAGCTCTAAACCAAATTGTAGTTCACCTGTAGCTATTATATAGCTACACTACTGTGGTAATTATGGCTTTTTTATCTTATCTTTTAACCCTACCTTTTCCCTGTTTAAATTGTTCTATTAGAACATATTCTGCTAAAGTCTCAGATTTGAATGGCATTTTAGACTACATTTAGGTAAGAATTTGTCAGAGCTTGTGCCTGATCTAACACAATTACCACCATCAGTGAGTGATGCCAGTAATTACAAAAACCTAAATTATTCTTCTCTTTTAAAAATGGCTTGAAGTAAGATCAGTCAATACACAGTGCAAATTTAGAACTGCTAGCTAGTGGTAAGCTATGCAGAGATTTTTGGCAAGAGCACAGTGTAAATAAAGTCAAAATATCGTTTTTCAATCCTAGCTTCAAATTAGAACCTCACTGCCACTATCTTATATTTATCTTTTACGGAAAAATAGATCAGTGTCATTATCTCCACACAAAACAAACGACAAAAAACAATGCAGCCAATGTATACTCAAGAAATGAAAAGTCGTGCTTCATTGTAATAGATATGGTGAGAATGAGAATAAATCTTAAATACCCTAATATAATATTTACAGCCTAGCTAATTGTAATCAAAGAGCTAATAATGTTAGTCAAATAGTGGCTAAAGTCCTTTGCTGAAGTGTGAAATGTAAAGCCCCACCTTCAAGTTATTAAGCCTAGAACTCTGGAGAACTCTTTCTCTAGAATTAGCTGATCTACCAGTCCAAGCCTCTAGTTCCTTTGGACAGCAGACACTGTTGATTGGCTAACCCAAGAGATATTTTCATTCCTATTCTGCTTGGCCACCTCCAAGACAGGAATTAGAAAAACTAAATACTTGATTGTCAGCTCCACTTGTAGCTAAGTTTGAGCCTGTGTCCCAGTTATGAACAATGAGATAAATGGAAGTCTGCTAGAAGCTTCTGGGAAATCTTTTCATATAAGAAGGCAAGCACATTGCTGATACAGCCTCTCCCCCCATCCTCTTGTTTTGATCTCAGACCATGTTCAGAGGTACTACTGCAACCATCTGCAAACATGAGGTGTGACAAGCATGAGGAAAGGGTAGGAGAATCACAAACATTTAGCCACTTGTTAAGCCACTGTATGTTGTGGGTTTTGTATTAATTGTACCCACATAAGAGCTATCTTAAATTTCTTGTAGATTGTAAGCTTAAGACAAAAAAGATTTTCACAAAAGGACTTCTGTTTATAATATTATACATTTTGTTAGGAAAGAAAAATTTAAGAAGAAAAAAAATTTTTCTTGAAAGCTAAAGGGGAGAAACCATCTGTTAGACATTTTAAAACTCCATTACTTCTGAGGCTCCTTTTGACAAATGAAATATGTATGAAATGAATTCTATTGAGATGTATATGCGTATGTATTACTATTAATATATATTAGTCTACTTGTGCTGCTGTAATAAAATGCCACAGACTACTGGGTGGACTAAACAACAGAATTTTATTTCCTCATAGTTATGGAGCCTGGGAAGTCCAAGATCAAGGCTCTGAAAGGTAGGTTTCATTCTAAGGCCTCTACTCTTAGCTTGTAGGCAGCCACCATCTCTCTGTATCTTCAAATGATCTCTTCTTTGTGTGCTTGGGCTTTGAGGGAGCATTCTGGTGACTCTTCTTATAAGGAAACCAGTCCTATCAGATCAAGGCCCCACCCTTATGACCTCATTTAACCTTAATTACTTCCTGAGAGGCCCCATCTCCAAATACAGCCACACTGGGAGTTAGGGCTCCAACTTATGAATTTCGTAGGGGACATTCAGTCCTTAACAGTATAGTATGGAAGTAGTGTCATTAAATGTTTACAAAGATATTCTCAGTTCAAAAAATTAGATAGCCTATTCTTTCATTTGTTTACTCAACAAACATTGATCTATGTGTTGACACTGGGTTATAAAAATCAAGAAACACACGATCCCATCAAGGAGTTCAGAGTCATAAGGTTTTTTATATAGACCGATCTGTACAAAAGAAGGGACATCTATCTGGGAAAATATTTTACATTTTGTTAGCAAAGAAAAAGGAGAAAAATTGTTTCTCTTTTAAAAGCTAAAGGAGTGAGAAACATCTGTTAGACATATCAAAGGTGACTTAACTTCTAAGACTCCTTCCAGCAAACCACATATACAACTGTTCATCATCGTGGTTAATATGGCACAGGTATTCATGGTGAATTACGGGGATGTGAGAGCTGGAAAGGAGGGCAAGATTGCCAAAAAGTAGAAGTCTAGTACTTTTCAGCTACTTCTTAAAAGTTGAATAAAAGGACATACCAAGCAGAAAGATCAGCTCCAGCCTACTCAGGTAGCATTGTTTCATATAGCATTAGTAAACTTACTTAAATCTGTATACACAAATTTGGGAACAACTAATTTTTAATAATCATACCTCTCTCAGGGGGAACCAGAGTATGCAGGTGTCCTAAAATGGAAGCCACCAGTCACGAGCATTCAGGGTGCCATGAGTGTCAGTAGCACATTTTATAGAGAAGATGGAGAACTTTGACAGGTCAATTACATATGTCTTCCATGGTTGTGGGATGTGGGAATGATTTCTCTTATACCTTAAATCTATCCAATTCTCTTTATCTCCACTGCCACCACCCTTTTACCAAATTACCAAAATATCTCAAATTAACCATTACTATAGTCTTTTAATTGATCTTTCTGCTTCCACCTTTGCCCCCGCTATAATCCATTCTCCCATAGGAGCCACAGTTTTCTTTTTGAAAAACCTAAATTGCATCACGTTTTTTCTCTACCTAAAAACTTTCAAGGACTGCCCATTGCACTTAAAATAATATAAAATGCACACTTGTTTACATGGCCTCCAACCATGGTTTCCCCTCCGCCAACTGTGCTCTTCTAAGGCCAGCCCACATAGCTGCCTTTTGTTCCCTGAGTCGCAAGTTCTCCTACCTCCCAGCCTTGCCATATTCCCTGTCTATAATGCTATTCCCAGGCTCTTCACTGGCTGACTTCTTCTCTTCAACTCTTGGCTAGATTTTTCCTCTTTAGGCAACCTAAAATAGTCCTCAAAACAGTCACCTTAATCTCACATTTATTATTTACTTTCTTATTAGCTGTTTCATCTGCTCTCCTCCCCAGTCCTTCCCCCAAAAGGCAGGGCTTTGTCTATTTTCCTCTAATCCCTGCCCCTTTCCTCACTTAGAAGAGGATTGAGCACATAGTAAGTGCTCAAAAATATTTACTAAATAATTAGGATTATAAAAGCCTGAATTAAGGAATTAGAGAAAATAGAGGTCATTAGCAAAAAATATTTGGAAAGAAAACTTAAGTCTTGGGGATTGATACTCTTGGGGTAAATTGTTGTGCTAACGGACATAGAGACTTACAGAGGGAGGAGGGGGTTGGGGGGAAGAGGACGGATTCGGCTGGCGACATGCTACATTTGAAATACTATGGGCAATCCAGGTGCAGCTCTCCATCAGGCAAGTTGGATAAAATAGTCTAAAATTTAGGGGACAGGCCTGCCTTAGAGAACAGAAGTCAGATTAATTAGGGGGTATTACCTCTCTGGTTCTTCTTATCCCTCACTCACAGTACAGTGGTCTAGAACATATTAGGGACTCAAATGTTATCAGTATTAAAATGAAGACCAGAAATTCATGACTCCATGTGCACTGTGGTGACAAGTGTCACGGAAATACGCCTGATGGACCCAGGTGTCTCATCCAGTTAATTTGTTTTTCATTTCATAATTAATTTCTTATAACAGATGGTGTTTTTCTTCCTTCAGAGGAGATACAATAATAGCACAATATCACAAAGTTTTGTCTTTGTTCTTTGCTTATTTTAATTTTTAATAGTATTAAAAGGCCACATCTGACAAAGCCACAGCTAACATAATACTGAACAGAGACAAGCTGACAGCTTTTTGTCTAAGATCACAAACAAGACAAGAATGCCCACTCTCACCACTCCTATTCAATGTGGTATGGGAAGTCCTAGCCACAGCAATTAGGCAAGAGAAAGAAATAAAAGACACCCAAACTGGAAAGGAGGAAGTCAAATTGTCCCTATTTGCAGGTGACATGATCTTATATATTTAAAAAAACCCTAAAGAATCCAAAAAAATTGTTAGAACTAATAAACAAATTTAGTAGAGTCACAGGATACAAAATCAATATGCAAAAATCAGTAGTGTTTCTATACACCAACAACAAACTATCCAAAAAAGAAATCAAGAAAACAATTCTATTCACAATAGCTATAAAAAAAATACTTAGGAATAAATTTAACCAAGGAGATGAAAGTATTGTACACTGAAAATTATAGAACATTGATGAAAAAAATTGAAGAAGATACAAACAAATGGAAGGATATCCTATGTTCCTGAATTGGAAAAATTAACGTTGTTAAAATGTCCATACTACCCAAAGTGATCTACAGAATCAGTGCAATCGCTATCAAAATACCAATGACATTTTTCACAGAAATAAAAATCCTAACATTTTTGTGGAACCATGGAAGATCCTGAGTAGCCAAAGCAATCTTGAGCAAAAAGAACAAAACTGGAGGCATCACACTACCCAACTTCAAAATATACACTCTAAGGCTATAGTAACCAAAACACATGGTACTAGCATTAAAAACAGACATATAGACCATGGAACAGAATAGAGAGATCAGAAATAAATTCACACACCTACAGCCAACTAATTTTCAACAAAGGTGCCAAGAGCACACACTGGGACAGTGTCTTCAATGTATGGTACTGGAAAAATCAGACAGCCATATACAAAAGAATGTGATTAGACCCCTACTTCTCACCATATACAAAAATCAACTCAAAATGGAATAAAGACTTAAACGTAAAACCAAAACTACTAGAAGAAAGCATTAAGGGAAATGTTTTGCAATGCTAGACTGGGAATGGATATTTTAAATAAAATCTCAAAAGCACAGATAACAAAAGCAAAAATAGACAACTGGGATTATATCAAACTGAAAAGCTTTTTCATAGCAAATAAAATAATTAACAAAGTGAAGAGCCAACCTACAGAATGGGAGAAAATATTTGCAATCTATACATCTGACAAGCAGTCAATATCCAGAATATACAGAGAACTTAGACAACTCAACAACAATAAAACAAATAATTTCAAAATGGGCAAAATACCTTAATAGACACTTCTCAAAAGAAGGCATATAAATGGCCAATGGGCACATGAAAAAATGCTCAACATCACTAATCATCAGGGAAACACAAATCAAAACCACATCGAGATACCATCTCACTACAGTTAGAATGGATATTATCAAAAAGAGAAAGGAAAACAAGTGTTTGTGAGGATGAGAAAAGGGAACATTTATACATCGTTGATGGGATTGTAAATTAGGATAGCCACTGCAGAAAATAGTATGCGTATTCCTCAAAAAATTTAAAATAGAACTATTGTATGATACAGCAATCCCACTACTGAGTATATGTCCAAAGGAAATGAAAGTGGTCTGTTGAAAAGAAATCTGCACTCCCATGTTTATTGCAGCACCATTTACAATAGCCAACATGTGGAATCAACACAAGTGTCCAACAACAGATTAAGGGATAAAGAAGATATGATACACACACACACACACACACACACACACGCACGCACAATGGAATACTATTCAGCCATAAAAAAGAATGAAATCCTGCCATTTGCAACATTCATGAATCTGGAGGACATTATATTAAGTGAAATAAGCCAGACACAGAAAGACCACATGATTTCATTCATGTG